GCTGCTGGCCACGGACCTCTGTTCATCAGTAGCTACTTCTATGGTATTCTTTGTGGGTTTTAGGCAGTTCCCAGCAGTGCTTATCAGAGCATGTTGGCATACAGTGTTCTTCACCTTTTTATGCAAAAGAATTACGAGGTGGCATGTGAGCTGTATACCAAATGCTACATAGACTTACAAATGGGAGTTTTGTTCTTTTCTTTGGCAGTGAATGTTACACAGAGAAGTGTGTCATGAATAATTATTTTGGAATTGGTCTGGATGCAAAGATTTCTTTGGACTTCAACAACAAACGTGATGAGCACCCAGAGAAGTGCAGGTGGGTTGGGCTTTGTCTGACCTTTGGGCACTGCCAGAAGCAACTGAAACCACTTTATATTTATGTGTGGATTTGAAGCGGATTGTGTACAAGTGTGCTCAATAGTTATATTGTCAATCTTGTCTGAATAATCCTCCTTCAAGGCTTGGAATCATGAGGGAGGAGATAAGTTACTGATTTATTACTGATTCATTATGCTGTTGTGGCTAGTATAAGATCTTTGAGTAGCTGCATTGGTGTGGATTTAGTGTGTTGGTTCTATTTACTTCATGATCTCACAAATTCTGCTACTGGGCTTGCTGTTTAGACATGAAAGAAGCACATCTCAGCTCTAAATGCCATAGAGGCTGATTTTGGCTTGATTCTAACTTAATATAATCCACAGGTTTTGGCCTTTTGAATACCTGGGGTGCTTTGTGTGTGATTGGTACATATGCTGTACTTGAGCTAGTACAGCAAAATGCTGTTGATGGCCTGGTATATGAGATAATTAACAGGTTCTGTACTAGGAGAATCTGAGTATCTTTCTGGTAGTGTGTGTTACTAAGTCATCCTCGGTTCCTACCTGACATTAATTTAAAGGGGAGTAGTTTCCTAGCACAAGCGATGACCATATTGAGTGCTTGACCCTTTTGGAAGCAAAGCACCTTTGTGTTTTAGGATGTAGGAGATGCCACTTCATTGTGGAGTTTTTTTTCTTCTAAGCAAAAAGGTAAATGCCTGTGCTAACTTTTCCTCTTTTAATTTGACCCCTTAGAAGTCGTACTAAAAACATGATGTGGTACGGAGTATTGGGGACCAAGGAGCTGCTACACAGAACGTATAAAAACCTGGAGCAGAAAGTCTTGCTGGAGGTGAGGAATTAGCATACTCTTCTGTTCCTAAAACTGGGCTGCCCTTCAGACATTTAGACTTTGGTGTAGTGATTCTTCTTGCTGACATTAGGGTATTACCCTTGCCTGCCTGATACAATGTGCTTGTTGTGTCTCACCCTGAGCTAGCTAAAAGTGGCTTCCGGTTCTGGAAGATAACTTGTATTCTCAGCCCATAGACTAAGTGTCACCCTGCTGGAAAGTGTTAGCTGTCCCCCACTCAGTATTCAGCATAGGTAAGATTGTTATATGTGGTATCTCATGTGAATACATCATTTTAGATAGTAGGTGCAGTGTAAAGCTCTTAATTTAACTATTCTATAATGTGCATCAAACTAGAAAAGAAATAGTGTTGTACAGGCCATGTACAGCATAAAGAGGTAGCTTGCAGAAGGGACCCTCATCACAGCAGACTCTGTAGGTGTTTCAGGAGTTTTAGTCCTCTTTCTTGAGGAATAAACCAAGGAACTTTGCCAAATATCTCAGATGTGCCCTATTCCTGTTTGGGGAAAAGATGCAACAGCATCTCTCTAAAATCCATGTCTGCCAAAAGAGATGTGGTTCATGCGACATGAGTGGATATGTTCTACCCTCGTAGGCAAATAATAAAATGGAGGTAACTGGATTAATTTATTACTAAGCTGTGCAGGCTGTTTTCTATTCTTAGAGCAGGGGCTCTGTCCTGCTGTGCTGAGAGTAACATTGCCTTCTTTTCTGTGCAGTGTGATGGGAGGCCAATCCCTTTGCCCAGTCTCCAGGGAATTGCTGTACTCAACATTCCCAGCTACGCAGGAGGCACCAACTTCTGGGGGGGAACCAAGGAAGATGACGTGAGTATTCTCTAAAACAGTATGGAAAATGTTTGTACTTACTGTTGCTTTTGAAGTCACAAGAGATAATAGTGCTTGGAAGAAGAGGGCAAGGGGCCTGTGTGCACATACTTTCTATGTGAAATGGTAAGAAACTCAAATTGAGTCTTCAGCAGCTTCACCTAAACAATCTATAATGACTCAGAAAACAAACAGAAAACAGACCATTTGGACTTCCAGGAAGTGCTTTAGATTGACCTCAACCTCAGACTGAGAGGTAAAGCCCCTTGAAGGGAAATGGAGTTAGATCCAGTCAGAAACATTGTGTTCTTTGAGTTGAAGAAGTGCTTACTCTCATAAAGAGTAATGATTGCTTTGTGGCCTACAGCCTTTGTGTTTGAATTATACTTTAGCTGTCGCTGGAAGCCTAGTGACAGTTTTTCTCTCACAGCAGATCTTTACTTTCTAGCCTCAGCTGTTAATTTTATACAGATTAAATAGTACAATTGAAAGCCAACCCCCTGATCTGCACCAAAAGGGGGTAAAGGTCTCCAGAGCTGTATATCAACTGAATTCTCTCTGTTTTGTATCTGGCTAGACATTTACAGCCCCCTCCTTTGATGACAAGATTTTGGAGGTGGTGGCAGTGTTCGGTAGCATGCAGATGGCAGTGTCACGGGTGATAAACCTACAGCATCATCGCATTGCGCAGGTATCAGTTGTTTTTGTGAGCTCTTCTTGTCTTCCCCCATATCCATTTTGTGATACTTTTGCCAGTTTCAGTCAGTAAAGCCCTCCCAGAAGAGGGCGCTCTGTGATCCATGGAAAATGCATCTACCAGGGCTGAAAATGAGCATGTTCAGGGGCAGTTTGGCCATGGAATTGTTTGCTAGCACTCACTTGGTACGAGTTAGACCTGCAACTCAAGTACAAATTAATTCAGACACACAGCAAATGGTCCCTGCTGCACAAGGGCAAGGCCTGCCTTGCCACCCAGGCACATGTGCCTCTAGTAATGCCAAAGATACAGTACCTGGGGAAGTGTTTTGGGAAGAAAGAGAATGTCTCATGCTTTTGGAAAACCAACGTTTTAGAGCTCTGATTCAATCACTTGCAGTGTCGAACAGTGAAGATAGCAATCCTTGGAGAAGAGGGAGTTCCTGTGCAAGTGGATGGAGAAGCCTGGATCCAGCCTCCAGGTTACATTTGGATTGTTCACAAGAACAGGGCACAAACCCTCACCCGAGACAGGGTAAGAGCAGCCTTTCATACACTGTGTAGTACACACGTTTCGATGGCACATGTTCCCAGCGAGCATGGTGAGCTTCTCTCTGTGAATGTACAAAGCGTATTTTGCTACATCCCATAACATTTTTTTGAAAGAACATGGTCAAACTTGCATTCACCACTTGGGAAATCACAGCAGTAAGGTTGTTTATGCAAGCTTCTTTTGCTTCCTTGTCTAGGTACCTTGGGACAGCATTTCTTAACATGCTTGCATGCTGTTTTTTCCACAGGATGCCTGCCTCATTGAGTACCACGGATTGTCTAGAGAAAACTGCTTATTGCTTTAATTTCTCATTATCGTTCAACACGTGGCTTATACCTCCTTGACCAAGTAAAGCAGTGCCTTATGCCTTGTTCAGCAGCATGTATCTGTCTCATCTCATAATTTTCAAATATATCTGGTGAACAGCAGCACATAAGGAAGTGTCCTAGTTGATTTACTGTATTAATGAATGGTGTAAAGCTAAAGGAAAGGATAAAGGCCTTGCTGTGGCACCAACAGGCTTTATGGTTCCTTGCAGCTCTGTAACTGTCTGCGTACAAACAGTTTGGTTGGTAGCAGCTCTTAATACTTTCCAGCATAACACCCCTTTGCCCAACTTCTAGAACAAATCAGAGTCCTCTGCAAAGGACTCACCTCCTGCCTAACATGAAAAGAGAGAACAATGTAGAGTCAAAAAGGAAGGCAGTGGGATACAGGCACATTGCCCGGCAGGAAGTTACAAGTATGATGGTATGAAAAGAAAGCAAAGGTGGGCATACAAAGCCCCTGTTATGGTAGGTCAGGGCAATACCCAAGACCCCTTAAGCTGGAGAAGGACAGTGGGTATTGATCACAGAATCACGGAACAGTTTGGATTGGAAGGGACCTTTAAATGTCATCTAGTCCACCCTTCCTGCTACGAGCAGGGAGGTCTTCAACTAGATCAAGTTGTTCAGAGCCCTGTCCAACCTGACCTTGAATGTTTCCAGGGTTGAGGCATCTACATCTCTGGGCAACTTGTTCCAGTGTTTCGCCACCCTCATCATAAAAAACGCCTTCCTTATATCTAGCCTGAATCTACCCTATTTTAGTTTAAAGCCATTGCCCCTTGTCCTATCACCCCTTGGTGCAAATGTTGTGGGAGAGGATGAGACAGGAATAGTGCATGCAGGCTTTCCTGGTGAGAGCTTCTGCAGTGTCACATGGAGACTTGGAGGAGGGGGAGTGACCAAAGGAGATAGCACAGAGAGCTCCTGCTGAAAAGGTGGGAGGGAGAAAAGAGTCAACCTGCAGGTAGGTATGATGGGAAAGGTGGAGTGAAGCATAAGAGGTAGAGAGGACACGCAGGTCCTGTAGTGAGTGTGCTGTGTGCTAGGCCATCTGAAGCCATGGCTATGATTGTGCCATCCCATTCCTCATTGCTTGCAAACCCGGTTTTGCAAGCATGGAATTGCTGCTGAGGAAGAGGTTCCAGTTTTGCAGAGCAACGTTCAGGTTTTGTCTTGACTGTGGGCTTATCTGTATTTTTCCTGCCATCCTTGAAATCACCATTGCATACTCCTTCCTTCCTAGAATAAATCTGTCCTATGCAGTAGATGAAGTGGGGTCCTCTTCTCACATGTGTGACCCTGTACCTTTGGTAATGTTTTTCAAATGTGCTTTGGGATACTTAGTTTCCTAACTAAAAGATGGAAGAACTCAAATTCTCTCATGTGACCTTATCTGGACCATTGAAGAGTCATCAGCAGGGTTGAGATCAGCAGGTAACTTGCTCTGTATGCTGACAGAGCCTGGTTTTGTCTTGTATAAGGAGCAACAGGGGAAGGGAGCACTTTACCACAGGGCTTCACAGGTATTTGCAGATACAGGAGAATGGCATGTCCCCAAAACCTGGGATCATCCCCAAAGGCAGTTATGTTCTAATGGACACTGGCCTTTCTGCTCCATCCATCTCCTCTCTCTGCCTTTAGTCCTGTGCTTCTTACCTAGTCTGTACTCATCTCATTTGACTGCCCAGGCCCAGGGTTCATAACTACCATTTTCTTCTTCTTTCCCATCTATCCATCACAGTCAATCTCCTTTCCTTTTCTGACTCCCCAAATGCTTCATTAAAGCTTTGCACCCCTGCCTTGTTCTCATAATCTTCTCTGAATTATTCGTCCTATTTCAATCTTCCCCTCCCATTGTCCCTTCTCTTATCTAACCTTCTCTCTTGCCATTTCATGCACTTGTTGATCTGTCTGTCCTTGCCCTGAAGCTTTGTGGGTCAGTTTTCATTCTCACCATATCCAATTTTGATCCTTCTGCATTGGATCTGCTTTTCTTCCTCCTGTAC